AGCAGTAAATCCATAAACAGTTTATACCTTTTGTGTAAATATTAGGAAGTCTTAAAGAAATATAAAACGCTTTTAAATTTTAACGTGCCATGTAGGATCAATTAAAAAAAACCAATCATTTCTAACGGAGTTTTCATTTAATTACCAGGTAATATATTGGGGGATAAGTTTGCCTCCATATTCTTTCTTCCAAATTCGTAATCTGTTTCAGAATATTCTTTTCTCAAAGAGAACAACTCCTAACAAAGCAAAATAAGGTTTCATAAAAGCTGCAAATGGATGATATGAGCTTTTTTGTAATTTCAAATTGAATTCCATTAAAATACTTTATTTTTCTCATAATTGTATTAGAGTCGTAAAGAACGAGGAAAAGAAAGTTGAAAGTGATTATGACGTCATAATGGATCTAGCACCAAGAAGCTAGTCTAAAGACAATTACTAGATCTTGACCTAAAAAAGAAGTCGAGAAGAAATATTATTTATTGACATACGATAAATAGACACAGTACAATGAACAAGAAGCTCGTAATATATTGCGTCAAGTGAGCTATAACTAAATATATAAAATTCCTTTAAATGGTGATCACCTCAAATTCAGCAGATAGGGGAGATTTGTTGGCCACGTGTCCAAGATTGGTATAACAGCTCTGCTCCTGGAATTGCTCTAGAAATCTGTCTGTAGAGATAGACCTTGCTCTTCCTCTGAACGATTCGTATAACGCCAAATAAACTGTTTTGTACTGATCCTGTATATTTATAAAATATATACGATTTATATAATGAAATAATTGTTTCATAATGTCCATTAATACTTTTAATCTTTTAAACAACGATACTTCCAAAAATTAAAAGTAGACGTTTCACCTCTCCCTGTATCATGTTCATTCTGTCTTTTCTCATAGTTTCTAAATATTTTGGAATATTAATTTTTCCTGTTTCGTCAGCTTGCCGATAGAGGGCGTCAAGTGCAATATATGTCCCTGTCCTTCCGACACCTGCACTTTTTTCAAATAAGAAATAAATATTTGGATTTTCAAACTTTCATTCAAATGTTTTTCACAGAGATTATGTTATTGAAATTTGATATATATTGAAAGAAAAAAGAAACGCAGGGTAGCATAATGTTCGAAAAAATTTTGACAACATGACCGAAAATTACGAAAATTGGTCAGAAGATAAATTTAGTTACTGTGCACCAAAATCAGTATTCAGAATTACTCAACCGTGAAATTTATGAAGTCACGTAGGGAAAATGCTAAAAAGCCCAAAACACGTGCAATTTGATAACGACGAGTTTGTCAACAAATCTTGTTGCATTATTTAATGCATATGAGGTATGCACATCGTTTTTCATCATTAAGAGACATTATGAATTTCTTGCGATCTTGGCACAGTTTACGGAAGTTCAATGGGGTCTTGTTTTCGAATTGCCTAATTAATGAAAAAGGCAACAACGGTTTACTAAGCAGTTTCTTGTAAATTTTCCCCGATAAAACTTGTTACCCGTTGTCAGAGAGGGTCTGGAATGGTTTTCAATCAAATAGAGCCATGTTACGAGCGGGTTATTAGTCCTGCCATTCTTAAATCGCCACCTTACTACCACAAAAACAGCCATTTATACAGTTGACGATTATAATCATTACCTTCGTACGAAATTGAAAGAAAACCATTCTGCAATTTGGTTTTTTGAGCCAGTCAACTTACTGCTCTATTCCTCTCACTGGCGCATGCGCGCGCCGAATGAAGTATTTTTTTTGCGTGGGTACCCATGCCAAATATAGCCAGGGTTTGAAAGATAAACACTCTGAGGAAATTCCATGCAAAGGAAAAATAAGGCTCTGATAGATGTAAGGGAGAGACATTGAAGATAATGAGAGTTTTCGATTTTCACTTTTTGGGGGGTTTCGTCATTTGAGCTTCAATAATTCATGAATTATCAGACAAAATCAAATCGGATTTTGGTTATGGCTTTTTGAAAGATGAATTTAAAAGTTAGATAGGAAAACTAAAACATAATTTAAGAAAAACAAATTTAATTCACCTCAAAAGTTTACCCTGCGTTTCTTTTTTCTTTCAGTATATTTGCAGTAATTAATTTTTTCAATATTTCTGAAACAAGAATTCCGCATCCTTCAAAGCAGGCAAAAATTTCAAACACCATAGGCAAATCTTTAATAAATAGCATTATACCTGCAGTGAACTAATGAATATTCCGCGTAGTAAATTGCAGACATCTTCATCACATGACGATGAAATACTACGAGACTTAATGGATCAGGGACCCCGTGATCAGGCCATTGTGTATAGTGGAACATTATGACGTCACGCTCAGTATTTTCCTACCCAATGATTAAATAGTTTGAAAAGTTAATGTAATTGATATTCATAAAGTGTTTTCAAGAACTTGTGCATTCAATATGAAAATTTGGTGGAAAATCTCGAAATTATATACAAGTACATCATTCAACATACTCCACATAAAGATATTTATAAATACATGTATATCAAATTATTTAAATGAGTGATACAAAATTATTGGTCAACTCACAACAGTATTTCGGATCCTTAGTTTTCTTATTGTGTGATTTGCGTAAACTTTCTCATCTTGTTGCCTGACGTACAGTTGGCCGTTCTGAATTTTGTCGTTAACATTTGGCCAATACAGGGCACATTTTGTCTAAATAAAAACATTCAACTGATAATATTGATAATTACTTTAAAAAAAAGAAAAGAAAAACACTATGTGGATTGAAAGGAGGAAGAATGACATATTCTAAGTTTAATGACAGTTTTTTGACTGCACAATATCATATGTTATGATTCTTATCTAAATTTTGAATTTTTCTATACCTTCATGCCTTCTTTAAGATTAGTAAGACAAACGATGATAGAAATATTTTCTTGCCAAACCATTCTCCAGAAGTCTGCAATTGTCTTTGGTTTTGGTCCTTGATAAACGAATGATAAGAAATTTTGTATCACTAATTCTAGATATTGTCACACTTGTGGTGGATTAAAATATTAATCGTCCACATCAAATCAATATAAAATTTTCAATTTACCTTGTGTGGCAATATAAGCCCTTCTCCCTTGTGCATTCTTCAAGCAAACAAAAGTTTAATTCAAAACATGATTTAGCGTAAGGAAGTTTAACACATTGATTACATTATAGATAGGTCGTTAAGCATTTTTTTTTCTTTCTTCGATTTATTCATACAAAATTAGCAAAAAAGAGACAAAATACACATTGATGAAAAACCATATCTTTTATGTTTAGAGTTACAAATGGCAATAATAAAAACAGACATAGATATTAACTGTCGTTAATGGTTCATATGAAGAACATTTTGTTGTCAAAAAGAGAAAGCGAAGAAACATACACTGAGAGTAAATATTTGCTAGGAATTGTAAAAGCTTACCTCAATGTAGTTTGCATTAATATAGTCTGATTCCTTAGGATTCAATTTTTTAAGGATAACTCTCGAATGGTCATCTATAAATTGTACGTTATTATGATTTAGAATCAAAAATCATATTTACCAAACAATACTTATATCTTAATCTTAAATATCTTAATGGACTTTTGTGAGAAGCACCGACTTCTTTTACAGTTGAACCTATATCATGTACGGAAGTACAGACTTGATAATAGATAAAAAGACCCTTTCTAGTGTTCATAATTATGGTGTTAAGGGTGCTAACATGTGAAGACTGGGTGTTGAGGATAGGAAGGTTGCCGGTTTCTTCTTCAACTTATCTGTGCTTTGACATAACCTGTTATTTTCGTTGATTCAAATGTTGAGCTAAATGTATTTACATCGTTAAAGACCTTTCGTACATTGTCCTAGTGTTAAAGTAAGCCGTCAACTGTAAAAGTCAGCGCACCTTGCAAAATTCCAATAGACGTATTTAAAGTTAGAATTCTGAAGTGAGAAATATTCAACACCATGTAGAGGGATACAATGTAACATGCATATTTGCACATAGCAGTGTTCCATTTTAAAGAAGTATGTTGTGTGTTAAATAATACAGCAAGAAAAGAAAAAAAGTATCTAAATCAGAAAGCATTGACATAATCTGACGATTTTTATGATTCTTTAATATAAAAAGCAAATATAAGCTTACATGGGAAAGTTGTCGTGTATCGATTCTTTGAAACGTTCTCGGGCTTTTTCCCTTCAGTACATGGATACAATTCTCCCCTTGGTATTTTCTTAATTCAGAACAATAACATTTTAGTAAATGAAACTTCTAATTAAATGAATTTAAATTTGTTTTGATATTCTTTTAAAATGAGGATTTAACAAGGGTTGTCCGCAAAGTTCGTGGACAAGCTAACAAGAGGCCCATGGGCCTTATAAATCACCTGAGCATCATGCAACAACTTTCAAATGATTGAATTTGGTTCATGTTTTAAGCTAGATGCTATGGCATTCACAATTTTGAAAGAGGCACCATTGCTAATAACTATACACTTAACAGTTGTTTAGTTTGTTTACTTAATAGCCATAAGCAGGGTAGGGGAACAAAAATGCATGTCAGCTAATCAGAAATATTCAGCAATAATCAGGAGTGCCCCTACAAAACAGATTCAGAATCCCTGACCCAGGGGCCATAAAATTCAAAATTTTTGTAGAGACACTCTTGCTCATCATAACTATGTACTTAATTGGTTTTATTTAATAATCAGGAACAGAGAAGAAAATTTTCAAAGAAACAATGCATTTTCATTATATAATCAATAGTGCTCCGACCTAACAACAGAACCCCTGACCCCGGGGTCATAAAATTCACAATTTTGGTAGAGGCACTTTTGCTCATCATAACTAGGTATTTAATTAGTTTATTTACTACTCAGGGGCAGAGGAGAAGATTTTCAAAGAATTAATGCATTTTCACTACATAATCAATAGAGCCCCGCCCTAACACCAGAACCCCTGACCCTGGGGCCATGAATTTCACAATTTTGGTAGGAGACTCAATGCTGATTATTATCATATCAACAGTTTGACTGCTTGATGTCAAGGAGTAAAGAAGAGGATTTTTAGAGATTGCACTAATCTTAGTGGTTTTTGCCCCACCCTCAGGCCCCAGGGGGGCAGGGACCATGAAATTCACAATATTTATTCCCCTTTTCCCACAGATGCTATATGCCAAAATTGGTTGAAATTGGTTCTGCGGTTTTAGAGAAGAAGCTGAAAATGTTTAAATGTTAACGCACGACTCACGACGGACGACGACGGACGAAAACGGATAGCAACAGGTCATCTGAGTTTTCTCAGGTGACCTAAAAATTAAATAAAAGTTGCGTCACTGACAATTATTATTAGAATATTTCTAATCCGTTACTAAATATGAATTGAAAAATATAAAGTTTTATTCAACTTCATATGATTAATTATAATTATAACTTCATAATTAGACTTGTAATGGAGACCCGGAGCACCGCTAAATTTTAATTAAAAAACCTTTTATCACTTTATAAATTTCATTTGTATTTTATAAACCTCTGCTGAAATCTGAATGAATTTTACATTTTGAGGTTGACATAAGTTATCACTCCAAACCTGCAAAATTGGAACTTTTAAAGTTTCAAAATAGCTGAGCAATCAAAGTTAGAACATATCAAGACAGGATCAGGATTATTCACAAAAGGGAGGTTTTCGGAATAATTGATCAGTGAACAGTGATAAAATTCTGTGTAGACATTGGAAAAAAACACCTAGAGACCAATCAATCCTGTAAACAATCGGGAAAACATAGTTTTAAAAACCGTTCATTAGTATTTAACAGCCTGTCTCCGAGAAAAGCATGCAAAATAGTCCGAAAGCAGGTTTCTTCGATTGCCTTCAAATTTTATGAGCTAAATCTACAATGCATAAAATGAAATCAGACAAATTTTTACTGAGCTAATCAAACCCACATACGTTTTATGGCCTGTTACTAAAAATAGCTCTTATGCAAGAAAATTTGAGGTATTTTTTTTAACATTTTAGACATATTTGAGGAGAGAAAAAAATTGCAACTTTAAAAATTATTCAAATATTCTGTTTGTAGTAAAAGAATAAAGGTTAGTTCTTTTTAAATACATAGTCAGAGTGATTGACATTCATTTTGTTTTAGTGCAAATAGGTCATGAAATTGGCAATGTTCCAAAATTTTGAAAAAGTGACAATTTTTAGTGGAATTGAAACTATTCTAGTTAAAAGGGGGGATGTTTTAACCCAGTAAATTTTAATGCTTATTGTTAAGAATACCTATTTTAACAAAATATGAAAAAATTACCCTTGGCCAATGTACACTTTAGAAAATATTGAAAGTCAAAGTTTGTGTAATTTTCACATAAAAAATTTCAAGGATACAGTTAGCGCTACTCAAAAAATAGCTCAAATCATGTCCAAAACGAAAAAAAGTTATTTTCTAGAGTTCTTCCTATCTGCATTACAGAATTTAAACAAACATAGCTCTCAATTTAATACTTAATGACTTTAACTTTTAAAAAAATACATGGAAAAAGAGGCCGGGGGGGGGGGGGGGGGGGAGGGACTGGCTATGAATTCTTTATAAACCTCTAAATGGATAAACTTAAGTATAAACCTTTATTATTCAATTATAGCCTTTTGATGAGGTCAATCCCTCGATATATAAACCTTAGAGAAAGCATATCGACCGAGCACTTCGTGCTCGGTCGATTTGCTTTCTCTAAGGTCTATATATCGAGGGATTGTATGGAATCATAAGGCTACAATTGTTTTATTATTTTTTATTAGTTAATAAGAAATGTCTTAAAATCCTTCTTTATAATACCCAGTAACTTCTCATACAAAGCATTGTTATGTCATTGTATTATGACATCACAGTAATGAAAACCAGCTGCAGTATCTGTTTTAGAAAAATCCAGTCTATAAAGACTATTGTGATGTCAGCACTATTGTTGTTTCCAGAAGAACGTTTCCAATTTTAGAAACAGCAGGTTTTATAAATTTTTAAAATAGAAACATCCAGTCTGCAACACTTTTTATACTTGATCATGTGATCCAGTTTGAGCCAATCAGATAGTTGGAACAGTAAAGAAAAATAATAACACTTTTTATACTTGATCATGTGATCCAGTTAGAGCCAATCAGATAGTTGGAACAATAAAGAAAATAATAATTACATTTAATACATGTATACATACTTGGTCAATACTTACACAAGTGAACCAAGTGAACACATTATTCATCATACTAGTCATTTGATCAACATATTCATTTGAGTGTTAAAGTACAAACAATTTCTGCAAATTTTCAACATCATCGATACAAACATTGAGATTACTGGGGGAAGGTGAAATGACTTGAAATTTTTTTTTGATGAATGTAACACAATACATCCTCCTTTTTTGGAGCTACTTAGGTATTTATTTTGTTTATAAAATTTCATCATTTGCACTCATTACTTTCTTCTTCTGCCATAAAACACAATCTGGACATTTACTGCTCTCTAACAATCTTCACGTATCATAGACAAGTAATTGTTCACTTTCTGGGAGAATCATTTTCTGGATTTTGAAGCCAAACCAATTCACTTTCCTGTTGGCTCTTATTGAACTCCACCAATGCCTGTTCCTGATAGGACACTTCGCAGTTTGTATCAGTAAATTGTGAAACTCTCTAATGCTTTGAACATTTTAGTAGGATATAAATTTGCTGTGATGTTCTTACTTGATCTTGAATTTGTAAAATAAGTGAGATTTCCAACTGCCAAATATTGTTCAAATTTCAAAATTGAAAATTCTTTTTGGTCTGATGAATATTAACAGGAGTTATACATGTATTGATGATTACTACTCTCTTTGCTTGCTGTAGTGTTTCGACAACTTTCACAACTGGTATCATCTTTCACTTGATCAGTCAGATCATGGTTTTATTGAAATGGCTTTTCAGTTCTGCTCCATTGTTCCTGCTTTCTTGGAAAAACTGCATAACCTATGAAACAAAATGTACCATGAAATGAAAAGAAATATGTCCTCCTTCTTTGAGTATATATCAGTAAAATATGATGACAGAAAGAATAATTTTTTGTACATACATAAGTAACTGCTAAATGGAGGAAAAGTGAAGTTGGATCTTTGGAAAGGTCTACGTAAGAAAATAATGACAAAATGATTGCTGTCATCAACACTGATTTTAAGAATATTAAGTTTATAATTAAAACAAGAGGCCCATGGGCCATATCACTCTCCTGAGCACCGTGGCTAGCATAAAAGCAGAAATTAGTTTATTATTGAAAAGTTTAAACCCAAAAGTAGTCCCAATCATTCCTAAAAGGCAAGAGGGTATGATTTGCACAAACTTGAATCAACACTACCCGAGAATGCTTCCATATAAATACATGTATGACCAATCATGGCTTTGCTATTCTTAAAAAGATTCTTAAAGAATTTTCTTATATATTTCTATGTAAAACTTTGGTCAGCCATTTTTGCCCCACCCTACCCCCCGGGGTCATGATTTGAACAAACTTGAATCTACACTACCTGGGGATGCTTCCACATAGTTTCAGCTTTCCTGGCACAGTGGTTCTTGAGAAGAAGATTTTTAAAACATGCCACCTTATTTTCATTAATTCCTAATTATCTCCCCTTGAATGAGGGTGTGGCCCTTCATTTGAACAAATTTGAATTCCCTTAACCCAAGGATGCTTTGTGGCAAGTTTGGTTGAAATTGGCCCAGCAGTTCTTGAGAAGAAGTCAAAAATGTGAAAAGTTTACAGACACACAGATGGACAGACAGACAGTAGATGGAAAGACAGGCAGACAGTGGACAAAATGTGATCAGAAAAGCTCACTTGAGCCTTTGGCTCAGGTGATCTAAAAACTTTTCCTATACATTTCTATGTAAAACTTTGGTTGGCCATTGTGGCCCCGTCCTAGGGTAAATCATTCACATTTACACTTAGACTTGATCTGTTGATAATTAAATTAGTGTGATCAAGGGAATAGCAAAAATCAGCTCTTTATGTACCAAACAAAGTAAGAAATCACTGGCTTTATCATTGTGACAAAACTGTGTCACTGAACATGCTGAATAGCTCTATTAAAGAGCATTTGACTATTATAATAATTGTTTTTTTTTTCATATATAAGACTTCTAAACAATTCTTACCATTTACATCTGGATCAGGACACTTGTCTTTTAATGTACTGGGGTCCAAAAAAATCCTCTGCATGTTGACAAATGCTGCTACAAGAAGTGAAAGTTAATAGTAAATTATTTATAACTTTACCCAGGTTTGTTATACAATTTGAATAATTTAGACCTCTCCAACCTATGGTATACTAAATAAATTAAATATCATATTGTGCATGCTTAAATGTTCTGTATAAACTTTCTGTTTAATATGAGTTCATATTATCATAATCCATTACCTTTCTAAAATATCAGTTTTGCAAAAATGTGTATTCATTTTGAATATATTAATTGTTAAAGTAAATATGATAGAAAAATATGTGTGATAGTATTTGGATAAAAAACCTTTCCTTCTTTGAATACCTGGTACTTTTATATATACTCTTTAGTTTAGACTTATTTTGAGTAGCAAACTATTTCACTACTTGCACAATACCACAATTCAAAAGCATAAATTACATGTATGCGAATCAAAGCATATGTGCAGTTGAATGTTGAATATTTTTTAATCAGAGAAGTTTTAATTTTTACTCCATCTCTTAACAACTGTTTGAACTTTCTTAATTTCTTTACAAAAGTTTACATGTATAACATATCAAACAATAAACATGACTGTTCCTAGTTAGAACATTTTCATTCATTATTTAAATTTCTATTACAAATTCTATATAGGTCACTGTAGATATTGAAATAGGAGCTGCAACTTGGATGTCCAATTTTTTTTTATTGCAGAATTATTTCAAGAACAGAGAAAAAATATTTATAATCTTCTGTTGTTCATATTTGCCGCATTGCAATGAAAGAACTTTTTATAACCTATGATTGAAGCAAGATTGCATTATCGTTGTCCTGTACAATATTGAATTCTTAAATAATTCTATATTTGCTTGTAAAGGTCTTTCTTCTAAAACACTTTAATACTTCATTTTAGTCTTACTGAGCATACAGGTTTTAATTTAAATACAAATCAAACATTATAATACATTATATAATTTTTATGGCAAAATAAAATTCTTAAAAATGCAGCTCATAATGCTTGAAGTAGAGATCAGATATTTAGCCTACCTGTCAGCATGGTCAGATCCTTCAGTTTCTCGTCAACGTCAAGGTAGCAGAAGTTTGTAATTTCTTCTTCGCCATTTTAACCATGTTAACCCCCCACGTTATCCGTATGTCTTGGATAGATTCATAACTTTAAATATACCACCGTATACGTGGTCAACATGGTCATGAGAAAAAATCCACATTTCACAATCAATCCTCTAGTCGGTCCATAACTTTTTCCCATACAACCTGATACTATAGCATCTCGGTCGGAGCTTTAAAGAAGCGCAGTGTGGTGGATCCTTGATACTGTCATACAAATAAAATACATACATGGCACGAAATGTATAAAAAATCTCCGAAGTTGCATTGTCCTCTTGGTGACCCTGACACATTGGAATGTCATTTCCGCCTTTTTCACATGAAGACTTCCACAACGGGAGATAACTCTTATGCACACTTACTCATTCTTGTCATCTTATTTTCTTTTATCATTTTTGGAGTAATTTTAAGTTTTATCAACTTTTAAATTTTTACAGCCTTTCTAAATATAAATTCAGACTAAAATATTTTTATTGGTCATCAAATGAATCCATATTAATAGTATTTGATTAATTCTATGGTACAAAATGAGATTTTGCTAACATGCTTAGGTCATCATTTCAACAATTTATAAAATATATCTGCACTAAATAGCCAAGGGTGAATTTTATATATTTGATAGAACATAAATCAATTATTATAAAAAACTTTATTTGATCAAATTATTTTATCCCCCACCGCTGTACCACTGTACTAAATATCCATAATAATTCTGAATTTCCAAACTTCGCCTAACATATGGCTTCAGTATAGACTGCAGATAGTTGTAATCATTATGGAAAATAGATATTTGTAATTTTTGACATATATGTATTTATGCAATAATAAAATACTGTATTTAAAATAATTATGCAGTGACTTTATCAGGCCTCAAACTTTCCTATTTTTACCTTCTATATAATGCCAATTATTGCTAAATATAGAAATTCGGTTGTTACTAAAAATAGATGCATGTGACACACTTTTACAATTTATTTTTTATATCCTAATACAACCCAGATCTTAAAAATATATGACAAGATGAAAAGCTCTATACACCCTTTTGGACATTTTTTCAGATTTTGCATGTTTTTCTCAGAGACAGGCTGTTAAGTGTCATACGATATTTTCTGAAGGAACAGTTTAAAGGATGACATGCAAAAAACCGATCATTCCGAGATTTCGTATTGTGATTTTGCCGTATTTCCGTAAATGAAATCTTTTTTACGCGGACAGAGGGTGGATGATTGCAGGATATGAGACAGACATTATTAAATGAAGGATATAGAGATAACGAACAGTATTCAATCTCAAAGTCCATAAAACAATACAAAACAAGAGCACAGCAAACACGGACCTCCGAAACATCAGAGGTGGGATCAGGTGCCATGGAGGAGTGAGCATCCCCTGCTGACCGGTCACATCCGCCATGTGCTCCTTGTCATGATTGGGAAATAACGGGAAAATCCGTCGTCAATTCAGTGTATACACAATGGACTAACAATTGGTATGAAAAACGTCAGTCAGCCTTTTACTAAATAAGTATGAAAGTGATTTGTCAGACTCTGTGGTATCTTTTATCTCAAGCTCTCCTGGATATATCGTATTGACGTAGGAATGGAAATTACCATTGTTAATTGACAATACGTCGTCGATATATCTGAAGGTCGAGTTGAAGGTCACAGCAAGTGTTTTCTTCATTTCACACATAAGATTTTGCATAAATTCTGCTTCATATGAATACAAAAATAGATTTACTAATAAAGGAGCGCAATTAGTTCCCCTGGGAATTCCAATAGATTGTTAGAAGACCTGGTCTCCAAAAACCAAATAGATATTATCATTCAGAAACTAAAGCATCTCCTTGATGTCAACTTCAGAGTACTTGTCTGTGCGATCAGAATCTTTTTTAACAAAATAATTTTGCAGATGACCAAGATGACCAATGACCAGGTAAGTAAATTTACGAGTTCCATTTTTATTGGAAAAGCAGCTGTCAATGATATTAAAAAGAATTTTAATTTACTGTGGGAAATGGTTGTGTATAAAGTTGAAAAGCCGTAAGTTTTTTAGGCTGTTGATTTTGGTAAAATCTCGTGATTTCAAATTGTCCAAAAGTTCTTCTGATTTTTTTAGTATCCACATCTGATTCACACCACTTTTTGAATATATGGTTGCACAGTACTCTTGAAGTTTTTCCTTCATTACTGTCAAAATCTTAGTGAGGAGTAACGAAAGAGGCTTGGTTTAACATCTACTGGAACCCGCAATGTATCTTTGTAACGATTCTTATATATTATTTTACGTATGAAACCTGAACATTTTGTGCACATTTTAATCACTGGCTAAAGCGACATAGGAAATGTATTGAGTTAAACGATTACTTTGTTAGAAAAGTTACATGTACTCGTATTAAGCTTTTGAAGTCGGTTAACGTCACAAAATTTTGTTTTAGTGCTCCGGGTACATGTATGAGTGCGTGTCTGTTTTGTATCTGAAAAAATATAATTATTTGTGTTTTGTTTTCGTTGAAAACTTGCATAATAATAGAATGATACATGAATTTAATGAAAATAATAGTTTAGTATGTTTTAGCAATGTTTGTCAGTAATTATTCATGTTGTCCACGAACTTTATGGACAACTCTCGTAAAAATACAGACAATCATATATGTTTAGCTTGAATGTCATGTTATCGACAATTTTCAATATGCTCTTATTATGATCAAATACATGTAAATAGACTTAAGGACAGATGATACAAACAAATTTTTTCTTTGAAAAAGATTTAAAATCATGTCACAAGTTTACAAAAGTGGATGGTTCTTAAAATTTTTTCTCCGAAGAACTAGAATATTAAAAAGACTTTGGTAACATATTCTGAATTTTTTTTAACCTGTAAACCTTTACTGAGTGTGATTTGTCTATATTTCTTTTTTCATTGAAATATTACTAATATTTTCCAAGTCTTTTTAATATTCCAGTTCTTAGGAGAAAAAATTCTAAGAACCATCCACATTTCTAAACTTGTGACATGATATTAAACCTTTTTCAAAGAAAAAATTTGTTTGTATAATCTGTCCTTAAGAAATTAGAAATTCTGTTCGAAATATTTAATAATTTTGGTTAATTGAAGCCCAAAAGAAGATTGATGTATTGTTTTATTTATTGATTAGATAATTACTTTAAAATTGAAATGAACTCTTATTTGTTTCCATACCTCATATTCCTTTTTAAAAGAAGCATTCTCATTGTTTGACATGGACTTAATTCTTTCCTCTAACTCCAAAATTGTTATCGTTTTATGCTTTGGAGAAACCTTTTCTGGTACAGATTGTGTGTTAAAAACAACGTTGTCAAAGCCATTTATTTCAATTTCGTCATGATCTGAAAGAAAAAAAAAACAAACCAACATTTCAACACACAATTTCCTATTAAACATTCATCTGAAAGATTTCATATTCATCAGATATAAAAATACATATCGGGATTTATCTACACTGTGGAAAGTCAAATATTACACAATTTATATACGTTGTTGCTTAAATACTCTGGGACAAAACATAATTTTTTTTATCAATATTTAACTTTAATCTGAATTTGATTACAACCGTCCCTTCAATGATTTGGCCGATTGAAATAAAAGACATTACCATTTGAACTCTGTTGTCTATTTGAAGTGTTATTTCCCCTGGTATTTCTCTTCCGTCTGCAAAATAGAAATAAGAACGTGTAATTTTGTTTTTAAAAACGAATTTTTTTGTTTAATTAACATGTATATTTACTAACAAATAAAATATTTTTATGAAATACAAAACCGTCACAGTATCTCAGTGGATAAAGTTTAGATGATAAAACCTTTTTGTCTATTCTTCCTTAGTACCATAAAACATTTGCATGTGAAAATTCATTGTTAAGTCATGGGCAAGACATATTTTACTCTTTTATCTTAAAACTAAAATTGGCTCTTAAAACTAAAATTGGCTCACTTTTGTTCCAAGTATTCCTTTATCAAAAGGGATATACATGTACAAATATGGAAATATGATACAGATCAAAGTGTGCTCGTCTACGTTTTATGACCCCCGGGGCCATATGTCATTGTATAAAACAAAAGGTAATGATATTATAACAATGCAATTACCGAATGATAAATATAGCTGTGATGACAACAGCTCCTATAAAGAGGAAGCATGTAGCTAATGAACCTCCCAGAACACCGCTATCTGCTGCCTCTGCCTCAAATGCTGTCTTCCTCAAAGTCAATGCTTAAAGAAAGTAACAAGAGAAATTGTGTTAGAAGTATACTAGTAAATATTATAGTTCTGCATGAAGCTCAAGAGAAATTTGACTGATTTCTTGTTTTCAGATCTCACATGATGTAAATGGAGAATGCATAATGTTAATTTATTCGCAGACACTTTTTTAATTACTTTTTCAGTAGCTGACTGTCAATGATAGTTACTGACTAAATGAGAATTTTTCACTGAAATCGAAACAAAATTTTAAAAATAATTGTTCAAATTTATCAATGTGATAAAAGAAACTGATATCAAATCTCGCCACCAGTGAAAATAGATATATTTTAAATACAATGTTCCCTACTTTCCTCTAATGTTTAAGATTTTTAACATATACCTATACATCAATGTTGTATATATACATGTACATGTATCTAATTTTGTGTCTTGCTAAAGGAAAAATGCATATAAATTACACTGAACATTTTCATTACTTTTTCGCAAAATATTTTAAACACTTAACACGCATTCTCTGTAAGCACCAAAAAATCTGGAAACGACATGTCTCGGATTTTGATGAAATTTTCACCATAGGTGTGTCTTGGTACAAAACTAGTAAATATGGTGTCGGAAGTTCCACACGTGCACTTGGTTGCCATGGAGACGGATCCATTGAATTCGGCCATTTTTGGCCCATTTTGACTAAATGAAAACATGAAAATTGAGGAAATGTAAATGAATATTTATCGGTATCTAATACACTCTAACAAAAATCATTAGATCATATGATAACATGACCTTTTAAGGTACACAGAGCATATAATCGTTTATTCTAGAAATATTCTTCCTGTAAGAAAAAGGTCATGCAAACTGACATGGTTTCTAAAAATTTGAAAGATGGGGAAATTGGAATTTTTTGAGATCTTTGAGGCTAAATAAGAAAAATTGTCCGCGTAAATTTCCCAAATCTTATATGTGTTATTATACTTGGGAATAAGTAGTGTCATTTCATGAAAAAACATAAGTGGGCTTTTGCTCCTATTTTTAGTAACATGTATCTATAAATAGATATATTTTAGAAATATGTGAAAAATCAAATTTTGGCAAAGTTTAAATTGTCATTAATGCATAATTAGAATGTATGTTGTAAAATTTGAAATTTAAATGACAAGAGCTGGACACCACTAGCTTGTATGGACAACGGTTGAGCGGAATTTCCATTTCTATTTTTAGTAACAGGTGGCTAAATTAGAGATGTCTCTGAATATGAGGAAAAATGGCATTTTTGTTCTAATTGGAAGCTTCATATAAAAAACCTAACAAATATAAAGCTTTCTACAATATGCTTTCAGAATGTACATGTGTTTGTTCAAAAATTGCTCCAATATTGAGGATGGACTCTTGTCTCATTTAATGGCAACATTGGTCTAAAAATAGATTACTCGAATAATTAAGAAAATGTCGATTATTGCACCTTTTCAGGCAATTTTTTAGATGTAGTTGCTGCATAATTGGAAAATATTTTGTAATATTTTAGATGTAAATGACAAGAGCTGGATACCACTAGCAGGTATGGATAATTGATGAGGGGAATTCCCATTTCTATTTTTAGTATCAGGTGCCTAAATATAGAGATGTCTCTGAATATTAAGAAAAATGGCATTTTTGTTCTAATAGTAAGCTTCATATAAAAAGTCCTAACAAATATAAAGCTTTCTATAATATGTTTACAGAATGTACATGTGTTTGTACAATAATTGCCACAATATTGAGGATGGACTCTTGTTTCATTTTATGGCAACAATGGTCTAAAAATAGATTACTCGAATAATTTGAGAAAATGTAGATTATTGCACCCTTTCAGGCACTTTTTAGATATAGTTGCTGCATAATTGGGAAATATTTTGTAAAATTTTAGATCTTAATGTTAAAATCTGGATACCACTAGGTGGTATGGATAATTGTTGAAGGGAATTCCCATTTCTTTTTTTAGTATCAGGTGGCTAAATATGGAGATGTTTCTGAATATTAGGAAAAATGGCATTTTTGTTCTAATTGGAAGCTTCATATAAAAAGTCCTAACAAATATAATTTTCTACAATATGCTTTCAGAATGTACATATGTTTGTACAATAATTGCCCCAATATTGAGGATGAACTCTTCTTTCATTTCATATCAAGAATGGTCTAAAAATAGATTATTCGAATAATTGAGCAAATGTAGATTATTGCACCTTTTCAAGCACATTTTAGATGTAATTGCTGCATAATTAGGAAATATTTTGTAAAATTTTAGATGTTAATGACAAGATCTGGACATCACGAGCTGGCCAGTTATGAATAATGGTTGAGGGGAATTCCCATTTCTATTTTTAGTATCAGATGGCTAAATATAGAGATGTCTTAATACTAGGAAAAATGACATTTTTCTTCTAATTGGAAGCTTCATATAAAAAGTCCTAACAAATATAAAGCTTTTGACAATATGCTTTTAGAATGCACATGTTTGTACAATAATGCTACAATATTGAGGATGGACTCTATAGCAACAATGGTCTAAACATAGATTACTCAAATAATTTGAGAAAATGTAGATTTTTGCGCCTTTTTAGGCACATTATAGATGCCATTGCTGCTTAATTAGGAAGTATATTGTAAAATTTGAGATGTTAATGACAAAATCTGGACACCATTAGTCGGTTTGGACAATGGTTGAGGCGGTTTCCCCGTTCTAGTTTTAGTATGAAATGGCGAAATATAGATTTGTCTCTAAATATTAGGAAAAAATGGCAGGTTTTTGGTAATTTGAATCTTCCTAGAAAACGTCTTAAATATAAAGCTTTCTACAATATGCCTTCGAAATGAACACTTGTTTGTACAGGAATTGCTACATTTAGGACTAACCCTTTTTTTATACCAACAATGGACTAAAAAGATTTCTAGAATAATCGAGAAAATATTGGTTATTGTACCTTTTCCGGCAATGTTGGAAAGAAAAATCAATGTTATATCGTTAGTCTGGAAATTTTTGCTGTAGATAAATTTTTAGCAAATTTGCGAGTTCATTGCATTCGCAAAAATATTTTTCTTAAAAATAAATTACAAATAAGAAAATGTTAACAAAGCAGTGGTTATTCGCAAAATTTTGATACGTAAAAATTAATAAGCACCATTTTGACCTGAATTCACAAAATATTTAAATCGACGTAAAAATTTCCAGATTTACAGTACAGGTTGTACGTGTGACTGACAAATAATTCCAATCTATTTAGTGAAATGCACACTATCTGAACGTGGGGCTCTCTTTTCTATTTGTAGCACATCCACTTATATGTAGCAACTTCTCAGCAAAAGATATTAAGAAGAAAAATGACAAAGGATTAAAGGAGCTTCATTGATAACATATTTACGAAATATACTGTTGTATTCAATATGTTCAATATATCATGAGTATAATAAAGTTTTCCTAGTAAAATAATCATGTGACTGATAAGTATAAACTATATGTAATATCGGTAGTTACCGTTAACTAACAAGCATAAAAACAATGATGATATTCAGTTCTACTTATATTTGAAATATGCAAAATCAATGAGGACTTCCAGTTCTATTTATAGAAACAAAGAACAAGGTACAGTTTCAATACAAAATATTTAAAGCTCTATATTTTTCTAATATATGAAAGTGATATAGGAAATCAAAATTCACTCTTTCTGAATCATTAGAATTCCCTGCAGTAAAAATACACAAATCATTTTTCTTATATGACCTCCTAAATGCTAATTGTCACGTCATTAACTTGTGTATTTTCCTGTATTTTCTTAAAAACTTGCAGAAGACATCAATTTTCCGTGGAATATCTTCTTTCAGAAGACATACTCTGCCACTCTCGTCCAGAGAGATTTTTAGATAACCGATATGTAATTTTTCATAGCAGTTTACATAATCCAAAAATTAAAGAGGGCACCGTGGCTAAAGGAAAATCAGCACAGAAATGAGTCATTTTGAGGCATTTCTGCATTAAACTTAAAAGTATACCAAATTAATGACGTCATATATTCTGAACGACCTCCCTTCGTGTCATATTCTTTAATGATCTATCATATTCATCTACTCAACGATTGTTAAAGCCAATTTCACAATTTTTTAAGAACATTAAATTTTTAGGGTACAATAAAGCTCAAACCGTACCTTCTTATAAAAGAGACAAGAGGGCATCAACAGTCATGAGAGTAACCCTGTAACAGATCAGTGAAATGGCATTTTAACAAGGTCCTGTTATTAGAGATTAGATTCCCTAACTTCTCCTCTTGTTTAAAGAGAAAATCCCTATGTTTGGTACATGTATTAACAAAAATCCTTAGATACTCTGTGACAATTTTGACAAAAAATGACAAAAGGTTCTTGAAATCTGGTGACTATCAAAAAAAAAAAAAAAAAAAATGCAGAACACAGAAACTGCCATATAGAATACGTTCTTTGAGTCTTCGTCTCAAAAAATTAAAAGTCTTTGGACAAAATAAACTTGTAGATGAAAATAGTACAGGTACATTGTCAAAGACTAGAATCAGAATTATTTTACAGAACAATTGAAAAGATTTTTAAAGTTTTCTTATAAATGGCCTAAATATCTATATTTCGCCACGTGATACTAAAAATAGTAATAGGACCCCCCCCCCCTCAACTTTTGTCCACACTAGCTATTGGTGGCCAGCTACAGTCATTAACATATCAAATTTTACAATATACTTCCTAATTATGCAGCTATGACATCTAAAATGTGCAAGAAAAAGTGCAGTAATGTACATTTTCTCGATTATTCCAGGAGTCTATTTTTAGACCATTGTTGCTTTAAAAAAAACAAGAGTTCATCCTCAATATTGTAGCAATTATTGTACAAACAAGTGTTCATTCTGTTGGCATATTGTAGAAAGCATTATATTTATAAAGACATTTTGTACGAAGATTCAAATTAGCATAAAACTGCAATTTTCCCTAATATTAAGAGTACTTCATATCTATATTAC